TTATATAATTATATAGAAATAATTCTTTTTAATAACTCTTCTAATTACCAAAAAGTGTTAGATAAATAAAATAATTATATAGAAAATAACTATATAAATATAAAGATTTAATATTAGATATATATATAAATAAAATCAATTGCATTATTACTCGTATTCCAATTTTTTAAATTTACTAAATTTATTATGAATAGCTTGCAGATACCCATTAATCATTGACCATAAGAGCTTCACCTAAGGTTTCACCACAAGGACCAATACTAATTTAAAAACAAAAAAATTAGTAAATAAAAATGCACTTACAGAAAATGGCAAATATAATTACTCACAATTCAAAATCCGCATCGTAAGTCTTTTCAATATTGAAAACTGCAACCTTACCACCATTAGATGAAACACGCGCAGCAAAACCAGCTGCCGGATAAACAAGACCACTAGTTCCAATCACCAACAATAAATCGCATCTTCCTAACTCAAATAGAACATTTTTCGAAACATCATCATCCAAACATTCCTCAAACCAAACAACGTCTGGTCTCAGCAAACCCTTGCATTTCGAACAACTTGGGAGTTTTTCAATTGGGAGGTCAATATCGAATTGCGAGTTTTCTGTCCCTTCTAGTGCAGGCACTATTGGGGAATCACGGTTCTCCTTGATATCTCCACATTTAGTGCAACGTGTTCTAAAAAGAGAACCATGCATTTCAATTAAATTTTTGATATCACTTGAAAGACCATCGACATTTTGAGTGATGACTGTAAATGTTTGTGTTTGCGGTACTTCTAATGTCACTTTTTTTTCAAAATCAACCAAGGCTTTGTGTGCACGATTCGGTTTCTTTTTCAACACTAATTCACGGCTAAAGTGCAATAATGTCAATCACAAAGAATATTTAAATAGTAGATAGGGTTGTTAATGAGTTGGAGTTGGTCGGGTTGACTCAATCTTCAACCCACTCCATTAAATTGGATTACTCAAGAATACTCATCTGAGTTCTCCAGATTTAGGCCAGACCAAATTAATTCTTCGTTTAACATAACCCCCCCCCCCCCCCCTA